CACTGATTAATGTAGGCTAATCGCACCCGCTACACTGATAGTCTGAATAGCAGAACCACGCATTTTCTGGAAGAAAATAAAGTCCGATCACGACTGATGTGATAAATCCACATCACACCGTGACCAGCAAACGGAGGCGAGGATAGAAAAGTGAGAAAGTCCAGCGAGGATACAGAAGTGACAAAGCCATGAAGGGACTGATTCTCTCTTCACTACAGCTCATTTCATACACGATTCTCAAATGCGGCGTCACTAACATTTTGCTGCCCAGAGCCATATGTTGGCCTACCTATATTATTTTGTGAATTATTGAATTTTCAAATGTTAATGCACTTTTGCCTCACTTGGTATAACAATATACGAAATCTTTCCTATTAAAAGATTAATTCTTACTTATACATCCCTATAAGTTAAAAATAGTTATGAATGTATGCATATTTTTAGCTTCATTATATTTACACATCAACGAGATATCTGCATCTTTCGTAATAATACAAAACAATTTTATATAAAATGCCATAATTGACATCCTCTCTTTTCAGGAACTTTGAATCCTCTCTTTTCAGAAACTCTCTTTTCAGGATACTATACCTCCAAGTTGCGTGAAACGCTTGCTAGACCTTTAACAGAGAGAAATATATTTTGTTTGAGAACAAACAAAAAAAAAAAAAAAAAAAAAAAATTCTTTTTATATCATGACTGAGCTATAAATACTAAGGCATTGCTATTGCGTTTGGACTATAAGCATGCAGTAACTGTAACTGCATGCGTAAAGCTTTTCGTTCTTTTTTTTTATAATTTTTTTTATTAAAAAAATATCTTTTTAAGATTTGAAGAAGGACATGGCTTTCTTAGGTTTATAAGGGAATAAAATAGAGCAGAAAATTTATAAACCAGGAAACTGATATGCTTTTTATGTAAAAAAAGTTGTGCCATAATTTTAAGGAGATTATCATGCATATCTTGCCAAATAAACTTTATGCACTTGTCAGAATAAATTAAAGATAGGAATTTCAGTCTGGATATTGTAAACGAAAATTGTTTTATAAAGAATGTGAAGCCATTCCCTTTCTCAGCTTACAAAAATTAATAAATAAACAAATAAAAAGATCTGAAGGGTTACAGATTTTAAATTATGTCCAAAGGGGCATTTTTTTAATATTTTCAGTGTTACCTTTATTTTTTAAATATCTTGTTCTTCACACTTAAACCATAAAATTCAGTTCAATAGTAATATCGCAAAATAATTTTAAAATGAGCATATCTTAAGAATTTCCGATACACAGCCTCGCGCGCTGGAGATAAAAAGGTTCTTTTTTGGGGGGGATTCAACGTTGCTATTGCTCGCTTTGAAATTCTTGGGTTTGTTAATCAAAACATCGAAGTTTTACTAAATATAAAATCGATAATGAAACAAATTCCAAATTTTGGCTTCCAGATGCCCATATTCGCAGGAGGATTACGTTATTCAAAATTTGATGGCCTAAGTAGCGTTGTTTTATCGCAATGCGATACTAAAGTATTGCATTTGAAACATACATACATTTATGTAGATTCTTCATTATTTCATTTCTTTAACTATAATACAGGGCGATAATATTGGGTGGCAACAATTTGAAAAGTGAAACAACGCTTGCAGTGAATCAACGTAAAATGCCAAATCGAAATTAATAGTCCTTCTGGGCAAATTGTTCCTTTGGACTAAAAAAAAATAACTTACACAAGATATTTCAAAAAGGTGATGTAATATTTCTGCACATCCAGTATATGAAATTTTCTGACTGTAACTAATAAGCAACAGCAAGTGGCATTTCCGCATAGGCAATCAGAAACGATAAATCGGCCTATAATTACTAACATTATTTTTCCTGGCGGCTGGCATTTATGTATTTTTAATGTTCCCAAAATTCTTTTAAAGTAATTTATATGAAATGAATTTTAACATCATTGCCACATATGAAGAGAAATTACGAGCAATACATAGATACTGTCGATATCGTCAATTTCATGTTGATGCAAATTCTGAGCTTTCGCGGAAAAAAGGAAACGGAAAAGTGAGCACCAGAAAATAAGGAACAGAAAGAAAAAAGAAATCTACAACCTCGCCAAATAATATCGTCAGATGGAATAGAGGAAAAACGTCCAGTTCTTGCAGTGAGTTCTCTTGAGAGAGGTGTTAAGGGTAAGACGCTGAGCTGGCTGATGCCTACCGAGATCATTTCGAAAGGAATTTTTTTCGAGATGCCTCTGGGAAAATCGTATAGTCCCCTCCACTTGTTTTTAAATAGATTTGCTTCGCCCCGTGTTATAATACTGCTTTCACACCAACGCTCAGATGAACTCTCATTCAATTACGTCATAGTCAATGTGTCACTTGACCATAGCTTAAGGCTCTACTGCATAGGCTGCAAGGGGAGCAATTATTGATGATCTGACGATGACCCGCTGGACACTTCTATATTTTTTCTATCGGACAGGTCATCAGCTCGTTTATCTTATTGCAATCTTCGTCAGAAGTTTCTGCTACTCTGAAATTAGGGTTGTCATAATAAAACTTTTCTCTCCCAGCTTGGCGACAGTTCTAAACGTGCCTTAGTTTTCCCACTGCAACATAATGGTGACTAACTTTCCGCTTCCTTTTTTCCCAAAACCAAATTCTAAAGTTCTGCTAGGAGTTACAATAAAATAAAAGATGCAGAGTGTAGATGACGACGCAAAAGGAAGCAACTTTGAAAGATATAGAACATATTTATAAGCATAACGTTGCCGAAACGCAAAGTTCAGTTGTCAAACGTATATAAACGAAGTAGAGAAGATGATGTCTCGTTATCAAAGTTTTTTTAATTCTCCGCTTTATGTGGCCGGCCGTCTAAAACACTTATCACAGAAAATTAAAAAAATTTTAACGAGTTAGTATAATTCTATTGGGTCTAATTAGTATAAGTTCATGAAAACATTTCATGATTCTGATAATAAACCTAAAGTATTGCATTTTGTCTCCTTCTTCAGTGGTTAGACAGGGTGGGCCCTGGCCTTTTCCAGACATCTCTGCTTTTGGAAACTGTTTTTCAGTTTTTGATCTTTTTAGGTCATTTTCAACACAATCGATTCCCGACATACCGTGGGTCTACCTCGAAGTTTGGTTCCCATGGTCTTACCAGAAAGATTTTCCTACCTATCTACCTGCATTCTGGTGAGATGACCAGCGCAATTTAAGTCTCTGTAGTTTGCTTTTTTATATTACACTAATTTAATCAATTGTTCCAATGTAATGATTCTGTAATTTAGACTCAATATAAATTGTATAATGAACTCCACTGAATAACTCATAGCACATGTTTTTAATATGACAACTACTTTTAAATATGCGGAAACGTTCGTAAAATAAGAAATACGCTTTAAAGCATTTAATGTTTTAACACATAAAAATTTCTAACTGTTAACTACACAATATGAAATATTGAATGAGCTTACTTCTCCTTCAGACCTTTTCCATTATATTTATATTATTTTAGTATGCTATTATATTTTTAGTATATAGTACTCAAGTATCAATTATTTCATATTTGAGCTAATGTTAATTACTTTTACTGAGCTTTTGCTTTCATTGAATAATTTTCTGATAGGAGGCACAATTGTTCTGTAGCAAGCATCATATACATTATTTCTATAGAAAAATCCCTTTTTCCTTTCTGTCAATGCAAAGGAGCCTGGGAAATCTTTCTGAAAGAACTACGAAAAATATTGAAAAGGGAGTTTTAAGCGACATTATTACGATTTAGTAGAGAATGGACAAATTCCTCTAAGCAAGACAAATGCATTTTTATTTAAATCAATCAGATTAAGACATAAAAACAAATGTTATTAAGTTCGGCTATTGCTCTTAAACCGCTTTGTTTTCTAATTGGTAACAGATAGATTAAATTCTAAAGGGAATATATAATTTTTCAGGCAGAGTCCTCCTATCTTTACTTTATCTAACACAAGTTTCTGTCTATTCTAACAGCGATTCTTAACAGTCTTTTGATTGCTTCTTTGCTTAATTTTAAGTAGTTCCTAACAGGATACTCTTTCCCCGTACAACAAAATCCAATCTCATATGTAGACTTTATGAGGCTCTTAGCCGTCTATTCGGCTGCGTTCCCGGAGCAGGGTGGAGCAAAGAGTAGATGGTTTCTGCCAGGAAGATATCACACTGTGAGGCTAAGGCCAGGTCAGTGGTCTTTTTTGGTGGCGCTCACTCACTCACCTTATGCTTAGTCAAATTTCAAAACACTTGCACGTGGAAGATAAAAGTGTTTTATTTCCGCCAGGGCAACACATTGCTTTTCAGTACCGGACAGTATTGTCTAAATTTGAAAGATAAATATCTTACATTTTACCGAATCCAAAACATTGTCGCCCGCGAAATCAAAATGCTTTTCTCGAGCACTGGCAGCACATTGCTTTTAAATCGCTGGGGCCCCTAATGAGCCACGACATAAAATTAAAACTATATGGAGAATGTTTATTTATAGTGCTGTGCAGCAGGCAGACCTAACTTCGCCCCCTAGAGGCGATTCAAGGAGGCATAACCCACCGGTCAACCCAGGGGAACAATTTTTGTTTCACAAAGTCTGGGTATTTGTACAAAAAGTCAAAAGTGGACGGCTACGCACCCACCTAAAATCAAAGTCCGCTTGTTTGACATCGACCATCTTCCAGTGTTGACCAAGGGGAGCCAAATCCTCAAGGACAACTTTCGATATCAAATGTTGTAGCGTCCCCACAACCAAGGGGCTGACAAGACAGCATCATATTGCCCCTCCCGAGCCTGAACCTACCAACGAATAAACGATGGTTCTAGTCACTGTGAAAAACTGTTATTTTTTCCCGAAATGGGGAGTCTATCTAGATACTGACCTAGCCAGAACGCCGGAATTGCTCCCAGTCGACTCCCGGAAGGAATGCTTATTTACAGCATTTATATTGACAAATTTAACAAACATTTAATAGCTTACCATCTTTTGCTTTTCCTTTTCGGGATTTATTCCGTGGTCCATCTGGTAGTTTCAAAACTGCTATGGAAAGAGGTACTGTTGTGAAGCTGCCTGATGAATTTACATACACTTCATCAGCATCTTTATTATCCAAAGAATATTTTAACCGGCCGTTCGTAATATAGGTCCTGGGTGGCATATCGGCTCGTTTACCAATAGTCGACTTCACAGGTTTGGGAACGGATAACTCGACTTTCTGATCATCAAGCACAGCATTGGGAAACATATTTTGATATTGATTTCTACCATCCGAATTACTTGAATCACCTTGAGTTAGAACTGGATATTCTTTGTTGATATCTGGAAGCTTCGGAGCTTGGATGTGACTGAAATTGCGATAGGTTTGATAATAACCAACGTCGGGCTTAACAGCGAGGTACCTTGGTACATAGGCAGGCATTGGATCCGCTCGAAGATAAGGATATTTACTTGAAATTTTGTTATCTTTATTTGCATCTATACTGGCAGCAATATAGTTAGGATGCTGAGCAGTGTATATTGGTTTCTGAGGATAATCATAACGAGGCTTTGCAGTTGTTGTAGGAATATGCCTAAAAATAGGTGCATCTTGACTCTTATAAGGTTTTTCACCATAGCCGTATGCATAAGCTGGCTTTGTTGGACGATGATGAGGTTTGAAATCCGAAACCGGCTTGGAATTATAATATGGTACAGTGTAAGACTGCGATTTGACGGGTGTGGCAACAGTAACAGGCGGAAGATTTGTATTTGCAGCTTGTTGCACCGGATAATGTTGTCGTCCTGGATTGTGAGGTAACTCAGGAAGCCAGTATTCGTAGTAGATGCCTGGATTGTGAGACCTCAGTAATACCTAAAATAAAAAAAAAGAGGTAAATTTCACGTAATTTTTGTTTAAAAAATAAGAATTAACGTAAAACAAAGTGGAAAAGAAAAATTAAAAGAACACCACACCCGTTCAGATTTAAATCATATTCAAAATACTGAATCTATCACAAGCTAATTAGTTTTGTTCCTCATTTTAAATCCTTTCTAAAGTAAATGGTTAGTCGCTTGTTCACGTGTAAATTTTTTAACATTTCGCTTCAATGCCTCACACATTTTTACTCTAAATCATGGAATTATGCAAAAAAAAACATGCTTGAAGACTATAATAATAAGCATATTGGCAATTAATTCTAAAGAAAATCTTTGAAAAAATATTGCTATCTGATCTTCGTATTCAAATTCCAGTTTGTCTTCTGAAAGTGTTATAATAGTCATACTGTAGTTAGTTTCTTTAAAATAGGAAATTCAAAGCCTTTGTCAACTCTTTCCATTTGCGATCGTTATGCGTGTCATCATCATCGCACAGCAATTATTTTCTCTACTTCACTTGAGAATGCAGTTCAAGTCAGCCTTCATTCACGCGCTTACTAATTGGGCGGTTACAAGTAATCTTGAAGCTCCTATTAAAATAAGAGACTATAATTTAAGAATTAATACCCAGAAATCCATACTGAGGAACATAAAATCATGCATAGTAAACCCTTTCGTGACGATATTCTCCCTAAAATAACCGCCACTAAAAGATAACAATATATCTCAGAATATAACATCTCTAAGAAGATAATTCCCCAGAATATGTCTGGAATCATTGCCGTCTTAGAGAAGATACATAGTATTTAAAACGAGTTAATCAAAGCAGGAACTTTGTAAAAAAAAGTTTAATATCACATTATTTCAACTGTAATCCTGAATTAATGACACATGAATGCTCTTGCATAATTTTTTTTGGGTTAAGTAAGAGCAAACAAAGTTAGCCCCTCCAACCAAAAAAATTTGACAAAGAAATCAAGACATAGCTCTGCATTTCCTCCACCACCACTCACACAAATTCACAAAATTTTCATAAAGAAAACAAAATCGGTATCGATTTTTCGGTATAAATTTTTTTTGATAGATCATCCAATTTATGTCATCCTGAACATGAAGTTACCAAAAAAACTATGAAAATATGCATACCTGATTAGATAAACATTTGCAGAGAGCAGTTTTTCTTGTTCTTAAATAATAAAACTATTTAGAGATTTATAAAAATGTAAAAACTATATAAATCGCAAGTACAGAAACAAGACAAGTACTGGCAGATAAATTTATAAGGTCAAAAGAGCTGCCTTGAAAAGAATGCTTTGGAGGAAGACTTTCTAAGAAAACTAATTGTTTTATATACATATGTGAGATAAAAAATATGTAAATCAGCTTTGTAATTTAATTTAGCAACAGCCTCTTAATTGTTCATTTTTAATTTTGAGTACATCCTCTCTGTATTCTAAAAATAGTAATAACTTTTCTGAACTGCGTAATTTCTAGACCAATCGACTTGCGTAACGCTGATGACGTAGCTAATTCGGAACCTGCATTCAAAATTTCGAGAACTGAAACTTCTCGAAATTTTCTGTTAATAAGAAACTTAAACCAAATCCTTCGTGAGCCTCTATACTGGATTAATTGCGCATTTTAGCTTCTACCTCTCTTCGCTTTAAGTCGCTTTTCCGCGCTGCTTTCTTCCTGTTGCAACAGTATCAAAAATGTAAATATTTTGAAAATAGGTAAGATTAGATTACAAGTGAATTGTGACCAGAAATGTCAAATGAAATAAAAATAAAATTTAATCTTTCTCGGCTCCTAAATTTGGTGTTCATTACAGATTCAAGATTCTACATTCCATCAAATATTGCTATGTCGTTTTCATCATATATATATATATATATATATATATATGCAACTGGTCAGTTTAAACGGGGTGCATCGAACTACCTATGTTCAGTGATCTTGCACGTGAAGGCATTCATATAATGCTCACTAGATACTATAAAGCATATAATGCAGAGTTTATATGCATATATATTCACATAGAAACAAACGATGTGTGCTAAATATTAATATATGATATTTAATAATAAAGGTAAATATGCAGATATAAGGTTAAGGTTATATAAAAAATTAATTATTGCGGCTGCATCCCGATTGATTAGCAATTAACAAACGACTTTTCTTTCCCTATTTATTACAGTTGCAATCAAAACAAAATGTTATCTGCTGATGTCAAGAATGGGAGCTTATTAATAATGGGATACTAAAGAGGTACACATTTCTTTATTTATTAAGGGTTTTTTTAATTGTAAACCATAGTGTTATTTTCCTTACTTGTTACTGTAATTTCTTTTATTTATTTAAGGATTTTTTTTTTAAATTGTAAACCATAGTGTTATTTTCCTTACTTGTCATTGTAATTTCTTTTATTTATTAAAGGCTTTTTTTAATTGTAAATCATGGTGTTATTTTTCTTACTTGCCTTTGTAATTTCTTTTATTTATTAAAGGCTTTTTTAATTGTAAATCATAGTGTTATTTTCCTTATTTGCCATTGTAAATTCTTTTATTTATTAAAGGCTTTTTTAATTGTAAATAATAATGTTATTTTCCTTATTTGCCATTATAATTCCAATTAAAATATCTGCTGAAATAAAAAACAGGAACTTACGTATAATAGCACACATTTAATTTATTTAATAATGGCATGTTTTCATTAATTATAAAACTTCACATCATATTTTAATTCAGAGTTTCGTATTGAATCAGTAGCGGGTTTGCTGCACGATTCTAAGACCACCTGTAATTACACGATAGCTGTCTACAGCTTTTACGTAAAAATAGACGTTCCAAAGCGGCAAATCTAGTCAATTATGCTTCATTCTTATCCCACCAAAAGCAAACAGTGAGAGAAATGGTTATAATATACGGCATATGGACGGCTGTTTCATGGTAATGAAGAATAACTTTTTAAAATTATCTGCCCGTACACATCATTCTTTATTTTAAGACCCCCTGCATTGTTTCACACTTCAGTTGAAAGAAGCGACATTTGACATTCGACATTTTGAATGGAAGTCATTTTGTTTTTTACACCAAGGAAACCGGTTTCGATATGCAGATACATATAACAAGGAGGGAGCCACGAAACGACGTTCTGGATACATAATTTAAATTGCTAGTGTGGGACATGATCAGTACGTACAAGGCGCCGACAGAAATCCATTAGTCTCAACCCCAATTTGTCTCTTTTTGCTTCGTAAAGACAGAGAGGATGTCGTTTGTTTAAGAACTCCGAAATGAGATAAAATAGAAAAAAGAAAACAATGCATTTTTTGATGCAAATAACTGTGGTAAGGAAAAGTGTCATTTACGAAGTGCTGCTTGTTCTTAGAATAAATGGGAGCTGCAGCATCATTTAGCTCTTTAAAGAAAAATAATCCATATAATTATTAGGAATTTCGTAAGATTCTTGGGTGAAATGGACAGAGCTCATAAGAGTTTCGTAACTTCTGGATTCATATGTAATCTGAAGTTAAATTAGCTAATACGGAGGCGTTCGCACAATTTTTAGACAATTTTCATTGTAATTACAGAAGTATTTTACCTAAAATTTTTATGCTTTAAATGTTTTATTTGATAACAATTATTCTTCTTTATCTTTATACAAGGCTTTTCCAAGACAATTATCCGAAGACGTATTTTGTTCCACGGCTCTCGAACAGTTTTCGGAACTCTAAAGAGGTTGTAGGTTGACGTTTGGACAACACGCTTTTGAAAAGTCCAAAAGCGAAAAAAAATTGGTGATACATAAGGAGATTTAGAAGGGATATGAGTGAACATAACCCTGATACACGTTTCTTGTCCCATTTCTCACAGGAAATTAACAGTAGAGTTTGACGTGTCGCTGCTCGCTTAGTCTAGATGCAGTTCTACTAATTGATCACACTGTGTGTAAAGAGAAAGTATTTCATATTTGAAAATTGGGTATAAAATATGTTTTTCATTATATGTGGAGTTGGTCTTAACATTTTTCTTCACTATCTTTATTTTTAATTTGCCGTTAAACCAGCAGCAATGATAAATTCCTTAGAAAAACTTTCTTTAGATTCCTTGAACCATGTTTTAAGGTTTCTCTCTAGTTTCTCATAAAGAATTCCGCAGCTCGTTCTGCGTACGGCGATGTGCCGTGGAGAAAGACGATTCACATTACGATTTTTCCCCTTTCTAAGATTCAAATCAGCACTAATCACTCTGTTTACAGTTGACACCGGGCATTTTAATGATTTTGCAACTGTCCTTTGAGTTGGCGGATTTTAATTCAACACTAAATATCTTACTTTGGCAACATTCAAACATTCCGTTTTTTCCTTGGATACGTATTTGGAACAATTTTTCCACTTGAAGCAAAATTTTGGCGTTTTTTTTCATTGTTGCTGACAACATTACCTATCGTAGCTTTAGATATAAAAAAATCATCGCTTTCACAATGTTTTTTTAGCAATTAGATATGAATAATTTTATTCGGAAAGAACACAAACATAGACTTGCATCCATTACTGCTTTAAAAGCGACATTTTGCGTGAAAATAAAGCTGTCAAGTAGCGACAATAATTTATAATTTCCAAAATACAGCGGCAGTTAAAAAAATCCAAGCAAATTTTTTTAAGCAAAGCAAAATCGTCTTAAAAATGTACGAACAGTACTACCACCTATGTAACATACTTTACGCTGAGAGCTTCGAGTAAAGTAATTACACGGCTTGACTAACAAAAAGCTTCCTTTATTCCTAAAATTTTAAACCTTTATTTGTGTACCATAGTCATATCTCCGTCAAATAAACAAGACCTGTTTTAGGCTAAATATTTACTTATATATACAACTATGTACAGATTACATTTTAGAAAAGTTTTCAAATACATTTTTATTACAGTAGAGCGTGCAAACCAGCGTCCTCTCTTTTCTCTTCCACATCTCAATCTCTTCTTACTCCCACCTG